GAACTAAAAAATAAATATTAAAAATTCTCTCTCTCTCTCTCTCTCTCTCTCTCTCTCTCTCTCTCTCTCCTCTCTCACTCTCTCTTTAAAAAAAAGAAAAAAAAGAAATATCCTTAATAAACCACAGTTCAAAGAGAAATTCACAAGGGAAACTAGGTTTAATTGAATGGAAATAAAAAATACAACATATTAAAATCCATGGGACAGCATGTGATGGCACATGTCTAAAATTCCAGCAGTTCAGGAGGCTGAGGCAGAAGGATCCTGAGTTCAAACCCAGCTTCAGCAACTCAGCAAGAACCTAAAAAATCAATAAGGCCCTGTGTCTAAATAAAAATGTAAAAGATGGACTAGGGATGTGGCTTAGTGGTTAAGTGCCCCAGGATTCAATCCATGGTCCAAAAAAAAGAAAAAAAAAATAGGGTCTCTAACTAACTGTCTATGCAGCCACCGTAAGTAAAATGAGCAAATAAACTCAAAGTAAAAAGAAAGATGAAAATAATAAATATATGAGCAGAATTGAAAACAGAAAGACAGTAGAAAAAAATTAATGGAACCAAAAAGCTAAATCTTTAAAAATATCAAGATAATTGATATATCTCTATCTAGACTTACCAAGAAAAAGGATACAAATTGTCAATAAGGAAAGAAAGAAGGGTCATAACAATAGGCCCTAGAACATTAAAAAAGATTTTATCTCCATTAATTTGACAACTTAGAGAAAATGAACCAAGGAACTCCTAGAAAGATGCAAATTAGGGCTGAGGAATATAGCTCAATGGTAAAGCACTTGCTTAGTATGCATGATACCCTAGGTTCAATCCCCAATGGATATAAAGGAGGTGAGGGGAGACAAAGATACAAATTACCAAAACTCACTTGACAAGAAACAGACAACCTAAATAATCCTCCTATTCTCACTCTTCAACTGGAGACTGAAACCAGGAGCTTGCACATGCTAGGCAAGCACTCAACTACTGAGGGACATCCCCAGTCCTCTCTCTTTCTTCCTTCCTTTCCTTCCTTCCCTTTTTTCTTTCATTCTTTCTTTCTCCTGTTAAGAGGGTCTTGCTAAACTGCCCTGATTGGTCTTGAACTGGGTGAGATCCTCCTGACTCAGTCTCCCAAGTAGCTTAGATTATAGCTGTGTGCCACTATACCTAGTTAGTCCTATTATCTCAAAGAAATTTAATTCCTAGTTTTAAAAAGTTGACAAAACTAGGCATAGATGGATTAATTGATGAATTCCATCAAACATTGAAAAGAAGAAAATAATATCCATTACATACAAATTATTCTGGAAAACAAAAATGGGGGGAATACTTTCCCAACTCATTTTATGGAGTCAGCATGACCTCAATTCTAAAGCCAGACAAATGTTACCAGACAATGAAAGACCAATATCCCTCATGAATATTGCTGCAAAAATCCTCAACCAAATATTTAGCAAATCTGATTCAGAAATATATAAAAACAGCAAATCTCTTTTAAAGGCTTTAATCCATTTTTTAATCCTGACCTGAAGTGACTCTAAAAACAATAAATGGTGTCGCATTCCCATCTAAGATAAATTCTAATTTAAGTACATAATTTTATGTATTTAACTTTAAAGGCTATTTTCAAAGGAAAGGCACAGTAAGGAAATTAAGAAGTAGATTATATAAGAGTCGAAATATCACAGAAGAAACTTTAGAATTAAAGTGATTTATAGGGGCTCAGGAAATAGCTCAACTGGTAGAGTGCTTGACTAGCATGCACAAGCCCCCCAGGCCCCAACACACACACACACACACACACACACACACACACACACAAAGTAATTTATAGTCTCATAAACACACAAAGTAATTTATAGTCTCATTAACACACACTTAATTAAAAGGTAATGAGTCTGTCTCTCCAGTTTCTAACAAAGAAATTTAAAGAGAAAGTTACTAGCCTATACTAGAAAACTTGAATGAGTTTCCTCAGGGTTTCTAAGATTATGACCCAAATCATAAACTCCAATTTACTTTCTGAACATATATATTTTCAGTTTGCCTTAAATACTTACCTTCAATCTGGCTAGTATCTGAGCATGGTTTCTTCTTTGACTCAGAGTTCTCAGTTTTCTCGTCCACATCCAGGAGAGGAATATAGTCTGTTTTTCCAACAGTTTCTCCCACAACATCCTCAAAAGCCTCTGACTCCAATGTGGCAATGAAGTCCCGCTTTATCTCTTCCTCAATTTCTGGAGGTGGCTCTGTTAATGCATCTGCAAGACTGAGGTCAGCCATTCTGTACTGTTGCAACTGCCTGTTTAAGGGGAAAGAGATACTTCATTTGATGAGCACAGCAAAGGGAAAGATTTTTCTAGACACTCTCATGCCTTGCCTTTTTTTAAAAAAGAGGCATAATCAAAAATTTTAAAGGTAGGGCTGGGGTTACGGCTCAGTGGAAGAGCATTTGCCTAGCATGTGTGAGGCACTGGGTTTGATTCTCAGCAACACATATAAATAAATGAATAAAGTAAAGGTCCATCAACATCTGGAAAAAAAAAAAAGAGAGGCTTCCTTATTTGAAAAATGATAAAAGTAACGCAAAAGCATTTTGCCTTTTTTTCCCCATTTAATAAAATTAAATACCTTTATTTTATTTATTTATTTTTTTAAAATTTTTTTTTCTTTTTTAAGAGAGAATTTTAATATTTATTTTTTAGTTTTCGGCGGACACAACATCCCTGTTTGTATGTGGTGCTGAGGATCGAACCCGGGCGGCACACATGCCAGGCGAGCGCGCTACCACTTGAGCCACATCCCCAGCCCTATTTATTTTTTTAATGTGGTGTTGAGGATCTAACTCACTACCTCACATGCCAGGCAAGCACTCTTCCACGGAGCTACAATCCCAGCTCCTTTTTATTAATGTTTTATTAAATACCAAAAAAATCATGTTCCAGAAAAGTTTTTTAAAAAGAATACAAAAAGAGGTCAGGTGAGAATACTCCCATAAAATATATTATATTATTATCAGGTGAATGAAAGAGGCTTTCTGACTAAAGACTGAGTATGGGCCTTTTCTCCGAGTGAGTTCTCCTTCACCAGTCACATGGGATAGCCCCATCCACCAACCACAACCTGAAAAATATAGACATGTCCCTGAATTAGGTAAGGAAGATGGCCACATATATTACCATTTTCATAGAATCCCAAACTCTTAATTTTCAAAGATAATTCTGAAGCTAAGAAGTATAATTTATTATAGGAACAATTAGAGATGGCTAGCCTGGAAAATACCAAAATCATGTAGTAAAAAGAGCCCAACAGGGCTGCAATAAACTAAACATTAAGTACTTGCAGAGTACAAACATAACACAGAATACTATCCCTGTTTTTAAAAGAGTCTAATTTACTACAAACTCCAAGAGACTCATAAGGATAAGGTGAACTATGAGCCATACTATTGAGTGGGTAAATGTAAGTCAAATAGCAATCCTTAGTTGCATAGTGTAACGATCATTGCTTGTGTTCATCAATAAATTTATTCTTCTGATCTCACCTAATACAAACAAACCAGTCCCCATCCCCACAGGATTAGGGCTAAAACTAAAAGTCTGAAAAAAACAATTAGAAGAGGACAATTTTGTGACTACACTCTGAAAAGAAGGCTCATTCTGTTCTCTCAAGGAGAAATGAATTTTCTTCCCATAAATCTTTCTTTTGCTTAATCAGGCAATCTACCTTCAGTTGCCTACAACCAATCTCAATGTATGTATTTTGCCCTAAAAAAAAAAAAAAAAAAGAAATACTGGGGATAGAACCCATGGACACTTTATCACTAAGCTACATCCCCAGTCCTTTTATTTGAGATAGACTTGCTAGTTTACTTAAAAGTCTCACTGGGTTGCCAAGGCTGGCCTTGAACTTGTGATCCTCCTGCCTCAGCAACCTGAGTCTCTGGGATTACAGGTGTGCACCCACACTCGACTGCTAACCCAAATTTTTGAAAAGTCAAAATGTATTATGATTCAAGCCACCAATGGTCAGGGTTTCCTTTCAAGCTCTTCTCAACCATCTACCTCTCCACAACAAATGAAGGACACAGTGAGGAATGTAGTCATTCTCTTCAATCTTGTTCTCACACATCCTGTCCTCCCACTTACACTATCCTTTCTTTGCTAGAAATATAAAAGTCACAGAACTTTTCACTCATTATTCTTTTTTTGTTTGTTTGGTTGTTTCCACCAAGATGTGTGGCCACCACAATTATAAAAACATGTACAAAGCAAATATTTTCCAGAACCCTAAAAAATCAGGGGTCATTTTATTCCTAAAACCCAAATCCAACACCTAAAGGCTTTGCTGTATGTTTCAATGGTCAAAGTATAAGGTTGAAGGAACAGGTGTTTAAATACTGAATAGCATCAACTACTGAATTCTACTATACACAACAAAGTACAGATGGGATAATGAAGCCTGGGAACAAGATCTTCTAAGCAGGTGCTAGTAAATAAGATATTTTTCCAGCACAGGGAATGCTGGAGGAAATTTGTCCAGATGTATATGGGGCTTGGTGAAAATAGTCATTATACTATATAAGAAAAAATAAAATATCAAGATTTAGAAAGATATTAAATACTGAATTTACAGACTTCCAAATAAAACCTTTTCAAAATTTTAATAAATTTGAGCCTTCTTCCATGTGACTTTTTAATATCAGGCTTCCTACTTGAAGTAGTTACTTTAATTCCTGATCAAGAGTTTCAATAAGGCCAGGCACAGTGACACTCACCTGTAAACCCAATGACTTTGGAGGGTAAGGCAGGAAGATTGTGAGCTCAAAGCCAGCCTCAGCAATTTAGTGAGACCCTGTCTCTAAATAAATATAAAAAAGGGCTGGGGATGCGGTTCAGTCATTAAGCACCCCTGGGTTCAATCCTGGTACCGAAAAAGAAAAAGAATTATAAATGACTGGGCTGGGGTTGTTGCTCAGTGTAAGAGTACTTCCTTAGTATTATGAGGTCCTGGTTCAATCCTCAGGTACTGAGCAGGTAGCAGGATTGAACTCAGGGGCACTTGACTGCTCAGTCACACCTCCAGCCCTATTTTGTATTTTATTTGCTTATATTTTATTTAATTGCCAAGTATCTCACCGCTGCTAAGGCTGGCTTTGAACTCCTGATCCTCCTGACTCAGCCTCCAGAGCCGCTGGGATTTCAGGTGTGCGCCACCATGAGTGACCCATCCCCCCCCCTTTTTTTTTAAACGGGCAAAGTCTAGATGTATTGAAAGCAAAGGTAGCACTCCTTAAGATAGAGTGGAGTGGGCTGAGCAAGAGAGAGGCTCAAGTTCCCACTGTCTGGAAAATTAGTGTTTTATATGCTCATCTCATCATTTTTTAAAATGGTAGATTTTTTTTTAAATCCTTTTCTTAAAACAAATGTAATATTTAAATTTCCTGGGGTGTAGCTCAGTGACAGAGCACTTGCCTAGCCCATGTGAGGCACCACATTAAAATAAAGGAATGATGTCCATCTACAGCTACAAAAATAAAAAATAAAAAGTTAAAGTAAATTTCCTGTGGCTTGAATTCCTTAATTACATCTTTTTTTCAAATCTAGTATTTCAAATCAATAAAAACTTGCTTCATGCATACAGAAATGTTACACCACCTTCAATTCAACTCCTAAAGAATAGTGGTAAATATCACTCTTCGCTTTTGTAAAGTAATTATGAATTAAATTATTTATAAATTTGCGTTTCAAACCTGAGGTTTATTTTGAAGCCATAAACTCTGTCATAGTAGTACTATACTCATTCAGGTCTCAAAAATGTAAATTAAGAGATACTTGTGCTCAAATGTTCACTGCAGCATTATCCAGATTAGCCAAGATAAGGAAACAACCTAAGCATACACTGATGGAAGCTATAGTTTGGGTCTTAAATGTCCTTGGAAGGCCCATGTGTTAAAGCATTGGTGCTCAAATAGGCATTACGGGAGGTTATAAAGCCTTAGGAAGGGCCTAGTGGAAACCTTCAGATCTTTGGGGATCTGGCTTTGAAAGGGATAATGGAACTCCAAGCCCTCCCTCTCTTCTTCTCCCACTTCCTGGATAAGAGGTAAGCAGTTTTACTTGGCCAAAGACTCCCTCCATGATGTACCGTCACAGGTCTAATGGAATAGAGCAAACCAATCGAGGACTGAAACTTTTTAAACTGTGAGCCAAAATAACTTTTTTTTGTAAGTTAATCATCTCAAGAATTTGTTACAGTAATGGAAAGATGACTAACACAATGGATGAATGGGTAAAGAAATCATGGGTGGGTGTGTGGGTGTGTGTGGGTGTGTGTGTGTGTGTGTGTGTGTGTGTGTGTGTGTGTGTGATGGAATATCATGCATCCGTTAAAATACCAACTGAAAAAAGCCAGACAGAAACAAAAATACTTCATAATCTCATTTATATGTGGAATCTAATATATAGTTTCCAGGTACTCTAACCATACATACACACAGACAAGGTAATTAGTTGAGTTGGATATGCTAATTTGCTCGACTGCTGTAATCATTTCACCAAGTATACAAAAACATCACATTGTAACCTTAAGTATACATAATTTTTTATTTTTTTTTTTACAGAGAGA